AAAATTTCAAATCTCCCTTTCCCTAATGAAAATGTTGTCAGCGGTCACATGATTTCTAAAAGGGCTGGCGAGGTAAACCACACACTGTGCTTAGACTCTTGTTTGAATAGTCTGCTACTGATGACATGGCAGAGCCACTGCAGCTGGCAAAAGACAAAGCTACCACCCTCTGTCAGGATTAGTCTCGAATTATCTGATTCATTTTATGCAATGTCTTCAAAAGAACGACCCTGACATAGGCAAGTGTCTGGAATTTCATCACTGGGCCTCGCTACCCACTCACGATGATTAGTGCGCTTACCACATTCTCATCAGCCACCAGAGCAGGCTCCATGTTGGGCTTCTGCTAATCCGTCACCTTACAACAAACTGACAGCCATTCTTTCTGCCTTCGATCGTACGGGACCATCGTGTAGATGGGTCCTCCTCTTCCTGGGACAGTTCCTACTCACTCCAGAGCTAGCTAGCTAGTCCTTCTCCCCAAATTACACAGGTAAGGAGAAACGTGTGAATGCTGTAGAGTCAGGAACATCCTTACTAGTGACTGGTACTTCAATGGGTCAAACTCTGATTTAGCTTCCAAGCACCTAACTTAAAATTCCTCCTCCTCCTCCTCCTCCTCCTCCTGTAGGAGCCAATGCTGCCACTTACTACACTTCAACAAGTGAAATATACAGGAAATGGCCCAGGAAAACCTTAATATCATAAGAATTATACCATCTGAAAAGGGTCTGGAATGATGATTCAATCTTCTCATTTTAAAAACAGGGAAACAAAGCTTGGCCGGCGTGGCTCAGTGGTTGATCATTCAACCCATGAACCAGGAGGTCAAGGTTCAATTCCTGGTCTGGGCACATGCCCAGGTAGTAGGCTCAATCCCCAGTAGGGGGCATGCAGGAGGCAGCCCATTGATGATTCTCTCTCATTATTGATGTTTCTTTCTCTCCCTCTCTTTCTGCCTCTCCTTTCCTCTCTGAAATCAACAAGAACATATTTTTTTTAAATAATAAAATAAAAATACGAAACAAAGACGGCTCATAAGCAAAATGACTTGCCCAAAGTAATATTCTGACTAGTGGCAGAGCCCAAACTACAACTCAGGTCTGAATGACCACTCACCAGGCCAACTTCTGTGGGACCACACACAGTCCCAGCAACAGAGTCTGGGGCCGGGCACACCAGTAAATGGCAGACCCCTGCTTACCTGTTTGGATCCCTGTTTCTTGCTCCAGCTGCTGGTACAGTTTGTTTGAATAGTCTGCCATCTTCTGCTCAATGCCCAAGTGCCTGGCAGTGCTTATGATGCCTGCACAGAACCTCGTAGAGCCAGCAGCCAGCCTGCAGGATGGACCACAAGGCTGTTAGGTGGACTCATACCTGTGAATGCAGCCAGTTCAAGTCCCAGCTACAGCACTGTTTTGTCTGTCGAAAGATGGAAGCACCTACATGTCCGTCGACATGACACTGATTTCAAATTTTGGAGTTCACCTACACAGTGGAATACTATACAGCCATGAAAAAGGAATGAGAGCCCGGTTTGGCTCAGTGGAGAGTCAGCCTGCAGACCAAAAGGTTCCGGGTTCAATTCCGGTCAAGGGCAGGTACCTTGGTTGCAGGCTCCTCCCCAGCCTGGGGTCCTGGTGCAGGAGGCAACCAATTGATGTATCTCTCTCACATAGATGTTTCTCTCTGTCTTTCCCTCTCTTCCACTCTCCCTAAAATCAATGGAAAAATGCCCTTAACTGAAGATTAACAACAACAACCAAAAAATTAAAAACATTTTTTAAAAAAAGGGAATGAGAAAGTTTATATGCTACAATGTGGAATAATCCTATTGAGAAAAGCAAGGCAAGGAACAGTAAGGAATGCTACCGCTTGTATAAATAAATGAATGAACACCCATTTACACCAGTACATACTGACGAACACACGTCTGTTTCTATGTGGAGAGAGCATCTGGATCAATACACCAGGAACTTAACTTGCCTTCAGCAAGGGAAACTTGAGGCCAGAGGTCAGAGATAGGGGAGAAATTTTCCCTGGACACTTCTAGAATTTTCTATTCTTTTTTTTTTTTTAAATAATTTTTATTTCTTGAAGTATTACAGAGTATTACATATGTCTCCTTTTTTCCCCCCTTTGACATTCCCCCGGCCTCCCCTACCCCCTAGTGTCTTGTGTCCATTGGTTATTCTTATATGCATGCATGTAAGTCCTTCGGTTGATCTCTTAATCCCCCCCAAACCCTCCCCAGGCTTCCCACTGTAGTTTGACAGTCTGTTCAATGTTGCTCTGCCTCTGCATCTACCCCTGTTCATCAGTCTATACTGGTCCCCATTATCTGTCCCAACCTCACTTCTCTTTTTTTTTTAAATATATTTTATTGATTTTTTACAGAGAGGAAGGGAGAGGGACAGAGAGTTAGAAACATCGATGAGAGAGAAACATCGATCAGCTGCCTCCTGCACATTCCCCACTGGGGATGTGCCCGCCACTGAGGTACATGCCCTTGACCAGAATCGAACCTGGGACCCTTGAGTCCGCAGGCCAACGCTCTATCCACTGAGCCAAACTGGTCAGGGCTTGGGTTGATCTCTTAACCACCCCCCACAAAACCCTCCCCAGGCTTCCCACTGTAGTTTGACAGTCTGTTCAATGCTGCTCTGCCTCTGCATCTACCCGTTCATCAGTCTATACTGGTCCCCTTATCCGTTTCAACCTCACCAGGGCCGTCCCAACCTCACTGGGGCCGTCCCAACCTCACCGGGGCCGTTTCGGCCTAGAATTTTCTATTCTGACTCATGTGAATCTACTGCCTTTCAAGAAATAATAAATTCCTTTAAATCTCCAATTTGTTATAGGCAAAAGCCTGAAACAGATAAGAACACTAGTGGGAAAATGAAGAATTTCAAAAAATCTATGAACTGCCTGGCTGACGTGGCTCAGTGGTTGAGCATCGACCTGTGAACCAAGAGGTCATGGTTCGATTCCCAGTCAGGGCTCATGCCCAGGTTGCGGGCTCGAACTCCAGTGTGGGACATGCAGGAGGCAGCCAATCAATGATTCTCTCTCATCACTGATGTTTCTATCTCTCTCCCTCTTCCTTCCTCTCTGAAATCAATAAAGATATTTTTAAAATACACACAAAATCACCATGAACTATAGTTAACAATAACGTGTCAATGTTGGTTCATTAGTGAGACAATAATCTTAATACTGGGATGTTAATAACAAGTAAAACTGGAGGTAAGTTATGGGAACTTCCTCCTGTCTTCTCAATTGTTCTGTAAATCTAAAACTCTTTTAAAACAAGTTACTTAAATGAAAAACAAAAACAAATAGAGCAGGATGCAGGCAATTTCATTCTGACTCCTAGAGGGAGCTCTTGGCCCCAGGATTTGTGTTGCTGCCTGACTATAAGAAGAACAGATGGCAAGATGTGCTCTGAACGTGAATAAACGCATGCTTCGGACACTTGGTTTGCAGGACTCTGCCAGCTCTCCAAAACCAGGAAACATGAGTTTTAAGCATCACCAAACAAAGCCCAGTACAGGATTTCCACCTGTGATTCTTCTCATGCTCCTAGCAACACTGATTAGCTAGTGGTGAGACAGTATCACCAAAAGGAGGAGGAGAGGGAAGGAGGGAATCATGCCCAGTGGATCCTTACCTGCCCTGCTCCAAAAGGACAATGTCCTTCCACCCCATCTTGGACAGGTGATAGGCCACGGATGTGCCCATGATTCCCCCGCCACAGATGACCACCTGCGCCTGGGCAGGCAGGGCGACAGAATGCGCCTCGGCCGCTGATGCACCACTTCTGGCTGAGGGCCAGTTCTGCCATCCTCGGCTGGTTCTTTGTCTTTGGACCACCGATAGCAACCGGTAAAACATCACGTCTGTCAGCAATGGGAGGCGTGCGCTCACTCAGTCAGGAGGAGTTCCCAAGCACTTGACCTAGACAGAAAAACGAAACATATTTCATTCTACTGTGCTGAGTGCATACGATTCATGAGAAAAAAAGGATGAAATAAAAACAATCGTTGTTCATTTAGCAAGTAGGTGAAGACTGACTGAGTCCCATACATTGTGCTAACTTTGATACAGCAGCGAGCAATAATGAGGAGGTCCCAGCCTTTAGTAACTTACATCTGAGAGACGATGAGACTGTGTGAGTGTGTATGCGAAAGTGGCGGCAATAAACAAAGTAAGTCACAAAGAGTAACTAACTTTAACACCGTGGTCAGGAAAGAAGATGACATTGTGAAAAGATGTGACAGACTAAATGGAAGCAGCTATCAGAGTGTTCCAGTGGACTGACATTGTCCTTCTCTTGGCTTCTGTGATACCTTTGCCTGGTTTTCCAGGAATAGGGAATGCGCCTGGCAGGCTGAGGGTGAGTGTATAAAGGTGAGAAACTGTGGCTCAGTGGATTGAACATATAATCCCATGCACAAAGAGGTTGCTGGAACAAGTGTCTAAGGCCCTGATGGGAGACAGACCTTGATGAGCCCAAGCACAGAGAGGAAGCCAGCCTGACCCCAGCGTGAGGAGCAAGGGGGCCAGGATCTAGGAGAAAACTGGAGAGGCAGGCAGAAAGCCACTACACACCGCCCTTGGATGTGGGGATTTTATTCTAAGTGCCCAGGAAAATACTAAAGGAGAGAACGAAATGATCTGATCTACTTTCCAAGATCAGTGTGGCTCCATGGTGGAGACTGGATTGCAGAATGAGAGGAATAGCAGGGATGGGTTGGGAAACTATAGCAGTATTCCAGGGGGACGTCAGGTGGCTTAGACAAGGAGGGGGCAGTGGAGTCAGAGACATGACTAGACCGTTCTGGAAGTAGAAATGACAGAACTTACTTGCCAACAAACTGGATGTACATGCAAAGAGGGAGAATTAAGGACGATGCCTATGTGTCTGAGTTAAGCAACTGGGGCCACTTACTATAGTGTGAAGGAGCAGGAAGGAACAGGGAATGAAGCTGGGATGCTGAGGGTAAGAGAGAGACAAAGAGAAAGAGAATACATTTGAACATTCAACTTTTAGAGTTAAGTACAATATACCCATCTGCATCCACGTGGAAACAGTAAGCAGCAGCTGGATACACGTGTCTGAAATGGGAAGTAGGCTGGGTGTCATTAGCATATGCACGGTGTTGAAAGCCCTAACATTTTGAGGAACAAGAACTCTGAGACTCCCCAGCATTCAGACTGGAAAGAGAAAGACAAGACTAGAGACAGGACTAGACGCAGTGGCAGAATCAGAGTGTACAGACAAAGGCAAGTGACTAAAGAGACGAAGAAGGAGCAGTTAGTAAGGTAGAAGGAAAACCAGGCAGAGGTATCACAGAAGCCAAGAGAGGGAAGTGTTCCAAAAAGTGGTGAACTACAGACAGTGCTGAGGGTGGAGCAGGTGGCAGAGTGTCCACTGGGATCTGACACCTCGCAGGTCCTGATGTCCTCAAGAGGAACATTTTCAGGGAGAGGAAGGCAGGAAATAGACAAGAGCAAATTGGAAATAAGCGAGATGTGGGAGTGGGGACAACTCTTACAGTTTGCTCTTATGGGGAGCAGAAAAGCAGAGCAGAAGCATGGGAAGAATGTGGGGTACAGCAAGGTTAGCTGGCTGTTTTGTTCTTTAAGAATAGTTTACTGATTATTGGAGAGAGAGGAAGGGAAAAGCAAGAAACATGGATGTGAGAGAGTAACACTGATCAGCTGCTTCTTCCACGCCCCTCCCACCCCCCACCACAGTGCTTGGGACACCACCCAAGCAACTGAATCACACTGGCCAGAGACGGCTAGCTGGTTTTTTACTTGTTCGTTAAAATATATATTTTTTTTAATTCTTTTTTCCCCCTCAATATATTTTATTGATTTTAGAGAGGAAGAGAGAGATAGAAACATCAATTATGAGAGGGAATCATTGATTGGCTGCCTCTTGCACGCCCCCTACTGGGGATCGAGCCCGCAACCCAGGCATGCGCCCTTGGCCGAAATCAAACCTGGGACCCTTCAGTCCGCAGGCTCTATCCATTGAGCCAAACCAGCTAGGTCTTAAAATATATTTTTATTAATTTCAGAGAGGAAGGGAGAGGGAGAGAGAGAGATAGAAACATAATGATGAGAATCACTGGTGGCCTCCTGCATGCCCCACACTGGGGACTGAGCCTACAACCCAGGCATGTGCCCTGACAGGGACTTCCTGGTTCACAGGTGAATGCTCATCCACTGAGCCACTCTGGCTGGGCTAGCTGGGTTTTTTTGTTGTTGGTGGTGGTTTATTTTTAAAAAAATATTTTTATTGATTTCAGAGAGGAAGGGAGAGGGAGAGACAGAAACATCAATGATGAGAGAAAATCATTAATCGGCTGCTTCCTGCGCGCCTCCCACTGGGGATGGAGCCTGCAACCTGGACATGTGCCTTTGACCAGAATCAAACCCTCAGTCCACAGACCAATGCTGTATCCACTGAACCAAACTGGCTAGGGCCTAGCTGGTTGTTTTTTTAAAGATGGGAGCTGTTAAGAATATTTCACAACTAACACCTATCCTCTTCAAACTATTCCAAAAAGTCCAAGAGGAAGGAATCCTTCCAAGTTCTTTTTATGAGGCTAGCATTATCCTAATTCTAAAACCAGATAAAGACACTACAAAGAAAAAGAACTACAGGCCAATATCCTTGATGAACATTGATGCTAAAATCCTCAACAAAACATTAGCAAATCAGACCCAGCAATATATTAAAAATATCATACACCATGATCAAGTGGGATTTATTCCAGAGATGCAAAGCTGGTACAATATTCCCAAATCAATAAGCATGATATATCACATGAACAAATTGAAAGACAAAAATCACATGATCCTATCAATAGACACAGAAAAAGCATTCAACAAAATCCAACACCCATTTTTGATAAAAATTCTTAGCAAAGTGGGAATAGAGGGATCATATTTCGACATAATAAAGGCCACATATGACAAACCTACAGCCAGCATTATACTCAATGGGCAAAAACTAAAACTATTGTCCCTAAGAACAGGAACAAGAAAGGGATGTCCGCTTTCACCATTCTTTGTCAACATAGTACTGGAATTCCTACTTACGGTGATCAGACAAAAAGAAGGAATAAAAGGCATCCAAATTGTAATGTAGGAAGTAAAACTCTCATTATTCGCAGATGACATGATATTGTACACAGAAAACTCAAAAAGCTATTAGATTTAATAAATGAATTTAGCAATGTAGCAGGATACAAAATTAACACCTAGAAATTGATGGCATTTTTATACACCAATAATGAATTCTCAGAAAGAGAAACTAAACAATTCTACTTACCATTGCCAACAAAAAATTAAGGTACATAGGAATAAACCTAACCAAGGAGGTAAAAGACTTATACTCAAAAAAGTATAGCACATTGAAAAAAAAAAAGATATAAACAGGTGGAAGAATATACCGTGCTCATGGATTGGTAGGATTAAACATCATTAAAATGTCCATACTATCCAAAGCAATCTACAGATTCAATACAATCTCTATTAAAATACCAATGACAGCCCTAACCGGTTTGGCTCAGTGGATAGAGCGTCAGCCTGCGGACTGAAAGGTCCCAGGTTCGATTTCGGTCAAGGGCATGTACCTTGGTTGCGGGCACATCCCCAGTGGAAGGTGTGCAGGAGGCAGCTGATCAATGTTTCTCTCTCATCGATATTTCTAACTTTCTATCCCTCTCCCTTCCTCTCTGTAAAAAATCAATAAAATATATTTTTAAAAAAAATACCAATGACAGTCCTAGCTGGTTTGGCTCAGTGAACAGAGCGTCAGCCTGTGGACTGAAGGGTCCTGGGTTCGATTCTAGTCAAGGGCACATGCCTGAATTGCAGGCTCGATCCCTAGTGTGGGGCATGCAGGAGGCAGTTGATCAATGATACTCTCTCATCATTGATGCTTCTATCTCTCCCTCTCCTTTCCTCTCTGAAATCAATAAAAATATATTTTAAAAAAAACAATGACGTATTTTACAGATCTAGAGCAAATACTCCAAAAATTTATATGGAATCAAAAATGACCCTGAATAGCCACAGCAATCTTGAAAAAGAAGAACAAAGTTGAAGGGATCACAATACCAGATATCAAGTTTATTACAAAGCCACTGTACTCAAAACAGCCTGGTACTGGCACAAGAACACGCATATACTGGTAGATCAATGGAACAGGACAGAGAACCCAGTAATCGACCCAAGCCACTATGCTCAATTAATATTTGACAAAGGAGGCAAGAACATACAATGGAGCATAGACAGTCTCTTCCATAAATGGTGTTGGGAAAATTGGATAGGTACATGCAAAAAAGGAAACTAGACCCACCAACTTACACCCTACACAAGAATAAACCCAAAATGGATAAGAGACTTAAATGTAAGTCGGGAAACCATAAAAATCATAGAAGAAACTATAGGCAGCAAAATCTCGGGCACCTCTTGAAACAATATATTTACGAATACATCTTCTAGGGCAAAGGAAACTAAAGAAAAAATAAACAAAAGGCACTGCATCATAAAAGCTTCTGCACAGCAAATGAAACCATCAACAAAATGAAAAGGGAGCCCACTGTATGGGAGAACATATTTGGCAATGATATATCTGATAAAGGGTTAATATCCAAAGTATATAAGGAAGTCATACAACTTAACAAAAGGAAGATAAATAATTCAATTAAAAAATGGACAAAGGACCTACATGGACACTTCTCCAAAGTGTGCAGATGGCCAAGACACATTGAAAAGTGCTCAAAATCACTGATCATTAGAGATGCAAATTAAAATGACAATGAGGTATCACCTCACACCTGTCAGAATGGCTACCATCAACAAATCAACAAAAGACAAGTGCTGGCGAGGACGTGGAGAAAAGGGAACCCTAATACACTGCTAGTGGGAATACAGACTGGTGCAGCCATTATGGAAAACTATATGAAGTTTCCTCAAAAAATTAAATTTGGAACTGTCATTTGACCCAGTAATCCCACTTCTAGGAATATATCCTAAGAAACCCAAAACACCAATCAGAAAGAACATATGCACCCCTATGTTCATAGCAGCACAATTTACAGTAGCTAAGATCTGGAAACAGCCCAAGTGCCCATCAGTAGATCAAAAAGCAGTGATTCAAAAAGCAGTGGTACATTTATACCATGGAATACTATGCAGCAGTAAAAAAATAAGGATCCCTTACCCTTTGAGACAGCATGGAGGAACCTGGAGCATGTTGTGCTAAGTGAAATAAGCCAGTCAGAGAAAGACAAGTGTCACATGATCTCACTCATATGTGGAATGTAATGGGCTTAATAGTATGAACAAAATAAACTGATGAACAAAATAGATCCAGAGACATAGAAGCATGGAACAGACTATGGAATCTCAGCAGTAAGGTGGAGGTGGGTGGGTAGGAAGAGATTAATCAAAGAAGTTTTATGCATATATGCATAACCCATGGACAAAGACAATAGGGTGGTGAAGACCTGGGGCGGGGGATGAGGGAGGGGTAGAAGGAGTCAATGGGGGGGAAAAGGAGACATATGTAATACTTTCAACAATATAGATTTATTTTTTAAAATATATTTTTATTGATTTCAGAGAGGAAGGGAGAGGGAGAGAGAGATAGAAACATCAGGGCTTAATAGTATGTTTTTAAATATGTCTCCTCAGGCAAGGGAAATAAAAGAAAAAATAAACAAATGGGACTACTGTGAATGAAAATGTTTTAGCACAGCAAAAGAAACCATCAACAAAATGAAAAGACACCCTACTGATTAAGAGAAGATATTTGTCTATGATACATCTGATAAAGGGTTACTATCCAAAATACATAAGGGACTTACACAACTTAACACCAAAAAGAACAAAAAACAATCTGATTTAAAAATGGGCAGAGGACCTCAATAGACATTCCTCCAAAGAGGACATACAGCTGGCCAAAAGGCATATGGGAAGATGCTCAACATCACTCATCATCAGGGAAATACAAATTAAAACCGCAAATAGATATCACTTCACACGCCAGAAAGGCAATCCTATCTAATAAAAGAGAAACATGGTAATTAACCATAACTTCGCTACCCTTCCCATTGGCTAATCAGGGCGATATGCAAATTAACTGCCAACCAAGATGGCGGCCGGCTGGCAGGAAGCTGAAGTGAACAGGAGGCTTGCTTGCTCCAGTGACAGAGGAAGCCAAGGTTCCCCGCCTGCCTTGCCGGCCTCTGAGCTTGCTCTCTAAGAAACATTATTGCAAATATAGAAGCTAAACAAAACTCCAGAAACCTGCTTTCAGTCGTCAGAGCTGGAGTGAGCAGGACCGAAACAGTGTTACAATTATAGAACCCAAACAAACCCAGATCCCTGCTT